ACTCCCTCTTGAGATGGTTCGTCGAATTGGATGACGCCATAAGGGCGCGTCGCATCGACGACGGGGATATGCAAGTTGCATTTGCCCAGTCAAATCTGGCAGGACGTGCCAAGACTTGGGCACTGGGGCTCAAGCTGCACGACCCATACGCGTTTGGGTCGTTGGAAGTCTTCAAGTCGCGGCTCAGACAAACGTTTGAACCGCCTAGAGCTGAGTTCAGAGCTCGAACCGAACTCTTGAAGCTCAAGCAGGGTAAGCGTGATGTGCACGCTTACGCTCAACATATACGACATCTCACGAGTTGTATAAGTTCCAATCCGGTGGATGAACACACGTTGGTTTCGGTGTTCATGCAGGGTCTTGCGGATGGTCCCGTCAAGACTCACCTGTTCCGGCTTGAACTAGATTCACTAGAACAAGCCATTTCAATTGCGGAGCAGGAAGACTTCAGTCTGAGACAGGCTCGCGCCAGCTCGACATCATATCGTCAACCGAGACGATATGACAACGGAGGTCCAGAGCCGATGGAACTCTGTTATGTAGAGAGCGAGAAGGCTCGCTCTACAGGCTACAAGAAGTTGCAGAGATGCAACAGATGTCAAAAGACAGGACACTACGCTTACGAGTGTAGTGCCCCTCGTCCAGTGTCTCGCGACACTGGGCGTAGTGACCGTCCACCCATGAGAAAGGGGCAGGGACGAGGGTCCGCAGTTGGTGCAAAGACGCAACAACGGGATGGACCGTCAAAAAACGGACAGGATCAGTAGGTGCGGAGCACCCTACTGATCCAGCAACGTCAAGAGAATTTGTAGGCCTCTTGATGAAGGTTGCTCCCAACACACAGACATTGTGCGTTGCTGCTCTAGGTAATGAGATCTCACTCATTACCTTGAAACTCGAAGTGACGAATAAGTTGTCCCTTCGAGCTCTAGTCGATTGTGGGGCGTCCAACAATTTTGTGCGACGCCAATCGCTAGAAGATGGTCACTTTAAATTCAGTGAATGTGACACACCTCCTACGAGGATGACGGTACGTCTTGCGACAGGCGCATCCGTAACCGTCATGAAGCGTATAGTGAATCTTCACTATACGCTAGAAGATACCCAATACGACGATGACTTTATCGTATTGGATTTGGATGACAAATTTGATGTCATCCTTGGAATACCGTGGCTCAGAAGGTACGAACCACGGGTAAACTGGCAACATCGGACAGTAACGATGCCTGCCGCTTGTTCATCAGATGACCATTTGATGAACGTTTTGGAGCGTCCACAATTGTTTGGATGTACTACGAGTGAGTGCGATGGCCTCACTTGTGGTACGGTCGTTAGTACGACTGCACAAAACCTTAGTGTACCAAACGGTTACACTTCGGAGCAAAGTTCCGGCGACTGTGAGGAAACACAGGCTGCGCCGAAGGTCCACCACTCGAATAAGTTGGGTGGACTGGGACAAAGATGTATCCCTAGAGGGGAACATCTAGAAGAGAAACAATCGATCGCTCAGGTTAAGCGAAACGATAATCCTAGATCGACTGGAGAGTCTTTCGTAGAGGATCTCGCTGTGGTTGCGCAACCCCAGCTAGAGGAAGTAAAGGGAATAAGTCCCAAGATTACAAATACGGCGGAAATAAGTTCCCCGAAACCCGCGGGAATAAGTCCCCGGGAAGACGAAGGAATAAGTCCTTCGAAGCCTGAGGGAATAAGTCCCCAGGAAATGACAGAGACATTGAATGTCATAGTCAATAACGGATCATGTGTAGGCGCTTATACACTTGATCTGATTGCGCCTCCGAAGTTAACTTCGGAGATCACTCAGTTGCCAACGCTCGAACATAAAAAGATTCTTGCGTGATCTGCGTAGTGGCAAAGTCAAGCAGATCTGCATACTCGTCGCTGAAGACGAGTATGTAACCGACATAAGGTCAGCAACAGTGTTTACTGAGAACGAGAGAGTTCTCAGTAGTTCATCTATGGACGAGAGTGTCCTAGATGAAAAGACACGAATTGAGCGATATGAGTCCCAATCATGGGAATCGCTCAAGGAAAATCCTCTCTATGAAGATTTGGTTGAATTCAAGGATGTATTCCCTGAAACTGTTCCGTGCGAATTACCGAAGGATAAAGGTATTCGACACGAAGTCGAGCTTAAACCAGGCTCGAAGTACTGTGTCATGAAGCAGTGGCCACTGCCTCGTGAACAAGTACTTGCGATCGACAAGTTCTTTGCCGATCGTTTAGCAGCGGGCCATGTGAGGGAATCAACTTCCCCACATAGCTCTCCGACCTTCTGTGTGCGAAAAGCAACAGGAGGGTGGCGGATAGTGCACGCGTTTAACAAATTGAACGCTGCAACGGTACCGGCTCAGACGCCGATACCGAGGAAGGACGTAATCATTGATGGTATGTCAAAGAGTACCATCTTTTCGTCCATGGATTTGATGGATGGCTTCTATCAAATCCTAATGCGGGAACGGAATATACCCTATACCGCAGTTAGCACGCCTAGCGGCATGCTCTGGGAATGGCTAGTAATGCCACAAGGGCTCAGTAATGCCCCTGCCACGTTCAACAGGTGTGTATCACATCTGTTGAGGCCAGTACGAGAATTCGCGCCGAGTTATTTCGATGACGTATTCATCCATAGTCGAGCTATGGATGGAAAGTCGGACGTTGAGGTTCACAAGTACCACGTCCGACAAGTTCTTACAATCATGCGAAAGCATCAATTGTATGCAAACCTCAAGAAGTGTATATTCGCAGCAAGCGAAATACCACTTCTTGGGTGCATCGTTGGTAAGAACGGTGTACGTCCTGATCCCGAAAAGATCAAGGCGATCACCGACTGGCCTGTGCCGGTCGATGTCAAAGGTCTTCGAAAATTCCTTGAGCTAGCGGCGTATTTGCATAAGTATTCACGCAATTACGCCGAGATGACTGTACACCTCTCTCGTTTGTTGAAAAAGAACGAGAGGTGGTTATGGAACGCTGAATGTCAACGCTCCTTTGAGGGTATCAAGCAGAGCTTGATACAATCCCCAGTCCTAGCAATAGCCGATCAGGACAGGCCATTTCATGTGGTCTGTGATGCCAGCGATTTCGCAATCGGCTGTGCATTAATGCAGTACGACCTTGAAGGCGTTGAACGCGTCGTCTGCTATCAGTCGCGTCAGCTGCAACCAGCTGAGCGGAACTATCCAGTGCATGACAAGGAACTCCTTGCCATGAAGTATGCACTCGCGAAGTTCAGAGTCTATCTATTAGGAGATAGACCCTTCGTTGTTTACACTGACCATGCGTCCTTACGCACGGCAGTGAACAGCCCGCACCTTTCACAACGAATGGCGCGGTGGTTGTCATTCTTTGCAGAATACAACTTTACGGTCGAGTACAAACCAGGACGACTTAATGTCGTCGCTGATGCACTCTCACGTCGTCCCGACTTTGAAACAGTCGCGAAACCCAACAGTGAGACAGTCACTGTTGCGGTTATGACGTCCTCAGTTCCATCTACAACGTTGTATGATGATGTGAGGCGGGCATACGCCCAAGATGGTGAGATAGTGAAGTTGTTGTCACATCTCTCCCAACCATCTCGAGAATCGTTGAAACGATTGTCGTCTGCGTATCGATCTGCATCAGATCGATACACTACTCGTAACGGTTTACTGTACTATACAGCCGTTTCTGGTGACACACCACGTGTTGTCATTCCAGATGATACTGATCTGCGTTTGCGGATCATGTTCGAGTATCACGATGCTCCTATAGGAGGACATCGTGGCCGAGAGAAAACATATCTCACGGTAAGTCGAGACTTTTACTGGCCCCGCCAGTATCAGTTTGTGCGAAAGTATGTTCGCGCATGCGAAGTCTGCCAACGAGTGAAGTCAAGTCCTTCACTGCGTGCACCTTTACAGCCTCTACCGGTTCCGGCTGAGTGCTGGGAATCCATCTCAATGGATTTTGTCTTCGGGTTACCCAAAGACGCACGCGGGAATACGGGTATTCTCGTATTTGTTGACAGATTCAGCAAAATGGTACACCTTGTGGCTGTACCAGAGACAATCACGGCAAGTGGCTGTGCTTGTGTCTTTATTGACACCATCTTCCGACTTCATGGGTTGCCCCGTGAACTCGTATCAGACAGAGATCCACGATTCACTGCTGATTTCTGGCGTTCCGTGTTCAAATCACTCGGAACGCGCTTGAAGATGTCAACATCTGATCATCCAGAGTCAGATGGTCAGACGGAACGTGCCAATCGTGTCCTTGAAGAGATAATTCGAGGATACGTACACTCCTTTAAGAGTTGGAGTGAGTTTTTGCCGATGGTAGAGTTTGCCATCAACAACTCGGTGCATGCGTCCACGACACATACACCGTTTTACGTGAATGGCTTACGCCATCCGCGTGTACCCACCCTACTAGAGTGTAACTCTGGTTTAAGGGGGGGAGGGACTCGCGCGAGCAAAAACCGATTTGGTTCACGCTCATCACGCTCTGACGAAGAAGTCATTGCGTTTGATGCCGATATCGATAACATCGATATCGAAGAAGATGATGCCAGTGAGAGTGCGGAAGCCCTCACTGAAGACAATGATCCCAGTGAGAGTGCGGAAGCCCTCACTGAAGAAAAGGTTGTTGTCGCTGCAGTGCGCTCACAGCACACTGAAGCTAACGAGTCATCAGATGAGTTCATACTGGCTCGTGAAACGGTAGTCCGTTTTGTGCAAGACTCCATCGCCGAAGCGGTGGATAAGCAAAAGCAAAACGCTGACAAGAATGGAAGGGCAAACACTCTTTATTTAATAAAGGTGACTTAGTCCTACTGTCTACGGTTAATCTACCAAAACATGTAGTGACTAACTTGGGTAGCAGTAAACTACTACCCAAGTACATTGGCCCATTTCGTGTATTGCACCGCCTAGGCAATGCATACACGATCGAGTTACCACGTAAGATGCGAACGCATCCCACGTTTTACGTTGGTCGGCTTAAGCCGTACCATCAGTACGCTGCTTCTTCCGATGAAGAACGCCCTTGCGCTCAAGCATCTCGCAGAGAGCCTTGTGCTCCCGATGGTGGGCATCAACAAGGGTCTGAAGAGCAGTTATCTCAGCCCGAGACCGATCAACAATCCCACGAGCTACCCTTAGCTCGTCACGAAGAGATGTCAGAGATCTCTCGTTCTCAAGCTGAGCAAAGGCAAACTCAGCTCGATGCTTCGAGGCAGTGTCCACCATCTGGAGACGCCTATTCCGCTCATGCTCGAGATCGTCGCGTAACCCTTGCGTTACGCGATCAAAGAAGCTCTCGGGAACACACCGATCCACATGATCGTGTGGAGAGCGTCTTTCCTCCTCCTCCACCTCCATTAGAGGACTCTCGCGGTGGCCAGCGCTATCTAGTAGAGCAGCTGTTGAACCACCGCGACGTGAACGGACGTCGGACGAGTTACCTCGCCCGGTGGCGCGGCTATCCCCCGTCCTGGGATTCTTGGGAGCCCCGCTCCCAATTGATGGTTGACGTACTGGGTCTGGTCGAGCAGTACGACGCGACACATCCTGTGCCGCAGAAGGACCGCCGGAGAAAGTCTTCCCGGCACGGTCGTAAAGGGATTTCAGGTTGTCAATCCCTTCGTACATCTCAGTAGAGACACGTACGCGCCACCACGGGCTGGTAAGGAGGTAAGCCTCCTTAGGTGCTCGTGCAGAGTTGTTCACACAACATGGGCACGAGTCTCCCCAAGAAAGGCAGGGTAATCCTTTCTCCCTTGACAGACGATGCAGCTTGTAGCGTGCACCTGTAGGGGTTCGCTTTTCAAACTTATCACGAGCTTTGATAAGTTTGTCGTTCCAAGCGTCACGACCTACATCCTCGAGATTATGGATGTAGGCGTTCCACGCCTGAAGTAGTGAGGGACCATCACGTTTGTGATTCCCACTGTACCATCGATGTCTGAAGAAAGCATCGATGAAGAACTCATGTCTCAGCGCGATAGTCTTTCGCGCTGGGGTCAAGGTGATGAATCCTCGACGAATCGAACAATCGTGTTCGATAACGATCACTCGTCGTCGCCGACAAGTGATCCATGACAGATTTAGGAGGCATCCATGCCTTCTTTTCTGGAGCGAGACGCAACACATTGCGGTCCCGCTCTTCCTGCGACGTGCCGACAGAAGTACTGGCACCTCGCTGTGAAGTGGTGTCCATTGGAGAAACGACACCACTAATAGCGCCCGAGTCTCGCGACCTCGAGCGCCTTCGCTTCGGCGATGGTTCATCTGACTCATCAGATGAACCAAAGATGCTGCGACGCAAAGCATCGTCCATGCCACGCTTGGCAGGCGGCTTGGATTCAATTGCCGTCGATACGGATCCGTCATCCGTATCAGGAGAGTACGAGACACCGAGCTCGTACTCTGTGAAGACACGAGTGTCTTCATGACCAGCGCCTGCATCACCAGGTGATACAGGCTGAGTCGATTCAGCAACCGATGAGACATCAGTTGCTGTAGTTTCTGCTTCGGCGTCCGCACAGAGACGTGCAGACGCGCTCTCGGCGGCCTTGCTCGCGCATCGCATGGGCTTGTTTACCATGCGATGAGATGTTGGAAAGTGGACGCGGACCAACAAGTGCAAACCCCGTCCCAAATGATTTGGGACGAGTATCCATTTAGTCAATCAGTCACTAAAGTGACTGATGGTTAAGGGGGTGATGTAACGGGGTGAATCGTTACATAACAATTTATAAGAAATTGTTAATAGAATATAACTATAAGAGTTATATTCTCAGAATATTGTCATAAGGACAATATTCTGTAGCACTTCCAAGTAGTTCCTAATTGGTTGATATAGGCCATTATATCAACCAACGAAGACGCGCCACGACAGACGCACGCAATGAGTGGTGAGCAGATAACTGATTTACACATTTGTATTTAGACATAGTTAGATGAGGATAAATAGTGATTTATTGCAGACATTAACTATTATAAATACAGTTCTACTTTTTACTCTAACCAAGTACTCGCTTCTTCTTACCGTCTTCCTCTGCACGTACGAGTGTACGTGAAGTTACGAGGCACCGCCTTATTCTGTTATCAGAATAAGTAGCTTGTACCGTCACCAGTACAAGCTTCAGGGTGCCCCGTTACAGGAACTATCTGTATTGCTCCCACTCTGTGATACTATTGTTTATGTTATAAATCGTTCATATAAAGTAACTTCACAATCTACACGGATAGGAATAAGTATCTGTATGTCCTACGAGCCGAACCTTTAATTCGCGCGGTTTTTTTTCGGCTCGACCAAAGTTTATTGAGGCAAAATTGAACCAGGGGACCCGGCGATGTCGGGGACAGCTACGCGCTTCGACGGGCGGGGGGGGGCTCCATGAGGATCCCATGGCCAGCGATAACATCGTGCTGAAGAAGTGCACGCAGAATGATTCAAGTTGCTTCTTGCTGACCCAGATTTTTTGTAGTGTTTTTGTGCGTTCTTCTGTGCGTTAAGCCACAGGAGTAATCCCGAAGTGTCATGAAACTATTCTGTCGCTTAACGCGTCAATAGGCGTTTCAAGCCATGCATTTAGGGTAAACGGAATCGCCGAAGTTACTAGTGGCTGTTGGCCCCATGGCCAGTGATTACTGCTCCCACTCATTCGTTATCATCAATAAGAAACTATGTTTATCTCATCACCAGCATTCTGTTTTGGTTAATTGATTTCGGCCAATGAATCCACACTCCATGCTCCAAGTCTCAACGAATCTCTTCTTGAAGGCCGTATACAACTTGACGCGACATTGGCCAACCAACCACTTCAATTATAGACGGCAGTACATGCCATCATCTGCACGCCAGCAGAAGTAGCAGAAATGGAGACGACGATGATGTTCTTGTGGTAGTCGGGCCCACCCTTAGCAGCAGCTTGCTGCAGATGAAATTTTAAAAAGATCTATTGCATCATTCGTGATACCAGGAAAGTAGTGTAAGGACTATTAGCTTGCTTAAGTGCCGCAGAAAGCTCTGAAGAACAGCATCCCTCTATGGGATCGGAGAGCGCGAGAATCGTGATAAACAATAACTTACAAAGCAAAAGCTGGCTCCGCATGTCACTTAATTAGTGCCAAAAAAGGCAACTGAACGTCAATTCATTCATGATTATACCTTAAACGCGGTTGATCACGTCAAGTCTGTTTACAGCGTTACCGGAGTGAAGTCTGGCATTATTATCAGGGCTAAGGACACCCAAAAGAAGAGTGAGAACACGCACATTTCCTCGCACTTGTTAAATAGTGACCCGCATCAATATTGGGAGGTCGTAATAATCCGCGTAGTCACTGAAAACATGCTTGTGTTATCTTTGTGTGTAGAAACAACATATCGCGAAAGATTTGTTGCAACATGTTTTATATCATTCTGCAACAGAACTTCCAGCCACTTGATGACAATTCAAAGGCTAAAGCACAGATTTCTGGAGCGATTTGAGTCAACCAAGAAGAATCCTATTGTAAGTCTAAGTGAGGCTATGTTGAACTCCTAAATTCTGATATCGCATCTGAACCTGGATGTATTGACGTCGAAGGTGTCCAAGGACAAGTACATCGGCTTTAGAATCTTCTCCATTAGCAGTGACTAAGATCGGCAGATTTACATCCCGGAATCCAGATCGTTCGGACAGCTTGAACAAGTTTATAGAAAATACCTTTACTAATAGACATCGTTGAGCATTTAGAAGCGCAACAAGCAGTGCAAGAAATGAGAGAACTGTTTGTGGTATTGAGGGGTGCATTTGAAGGGGCAGAGGTAGTCAGTAAGGTGTATCGAGAACAAGACCAAGGGAAATCTTAAACGAATGATGCTGACAAAACACGAACCGCAGATAAGAGATCTATGGAAGGCGATGGTGCGGTGATGTAGTCTTTTGATTATTAGTCTATTTGCCACCCACTTCTTGTCAACAACCATCATCCACATGGTAGAATGCAAGTTCCTCATCTTCCAGCACCAATTCGTTCAGATGCTCTATCTCTATGTTCTGCTCGACCCTCTGGCTTAGTGAAGCCAAAGTCAGTTAACTTGACCTGGCCCGCATCAGTGTCGAACATGATTCTATCCGTATTCACGTCGCCATGTACCATTCCCTTGGTTTGCGTGTTCCCGAGGGCTCTTATCGCTCCATGTCGGGCACCTACACTACCCCACAAGGGCGGGTAGGGTGCCTTGTAAATTGTGGCCTACATCCGATTTACACAAAGCTGGACCACAAAACGTATGATTGAGGATCGGGAATCTCGGGGCCGCGATGTAAATGCTTGATCGGAAGAATCTCGCCTCTCAAGAAAATCTGACATCCTTGTTGTACGGCTCACTAAAGAAGTATATGAATTCAGCATTTCTGTAGAGAATATCCTTGCTCAACGTGTGATGCCGCGGGTGATGTCAAGCGAGTTCTGCCCTTGCTTGAGCACATTTGTGAGAGTGGTTCATTCCGCATCTTCTTGACAGAGTGATCAAGGAAGCATTTGGTGTGGCGTTAAACTTGATCATAAGCAGGAGCTCTGAAGCCCGATAGATCACCCAAGAACTAAGAAAGATCATCAAGCATTTCAGTAGTCAATAAAGGCAAGGGTCTACTATGATGATTATTCACTAACACCCGTAAAAAACAAACGAGAAGAAAAAACATAGACAAAGAGTGAATCAATCGTAATATCGAAGCAGATAAGGGAAGTAGACGATGTTCTAGGATCAATAGATTTCATAATAGCCGTGTTAAAGAAGCGGTCCAAAGCACTATGGTAAAATGTATTTTCTGATTATCTTTCTGTATGCGCTTACCTACTTCTCGCTTCGTATCGTTCCTGTCCACTCAATACGAAAGAAGCGCATTACAAGACGCACAACGTATCGCCCATACAAGCACTAACTCATCAGCCTTCATTCCCACCTCAATCACCGTCGTTCACGTGCAATCGCAATTACGGCGATATGTACTCCAGCAATTTTCCTTGGTCATGATTTACGCACCCTTTGACACATTAAAGATGCAGCAACTCACTCAATACAGCAAGCCTCGTAGCGTCTAGCGTCTGCGTCAAGTCACCCCGCGAGTTGCAACTTCGATCGCACGTACTTCGCCACAATTACAACACGCCAAGCGTAGTCGCAGACGATCTTCAGGCGCACGTCAATGAGCTTAGCCTTAAGCGGGGTACCTCGCCGTCCCATTGCTTTAGCACTAATTTTGTTGTCCACGTGGGGTGCCATCCGAATAGCACGAAGGTTCCCGATTTCACAAAGCACCTCCCTGAGGCAAAGTAGCTCGTGCTCTTGCTCTGACACGGCAATGAACTCCGCCTCCAATGTGGAAACCGAAACCACGCCTTGCTTCTGTGCCGACCATCTCACCTGCCAACCGGACGATGCCGCCGGTAAGTCACTTCCTGTCCGACTTATCGGCGGCGAAGTCGATGTCAGAATACGACTCTAGCTGCAGTTCACCATTTGGTCTCCCCTTTAGCGCCATGAAAAGCTTGAATTCGCGCATACCCTTCCGATACCGCGCGATCCGTTTTTTTGTGTAGAAGTCGTTCAATTACGGTTGACGGGTCTGGTGCATTGTTTAGCGTACGGTGTACGCGATGTCCGGTCGCGTGCATTGTGCCAACCGTATTGAACTCCCGACAAGGGAATTGGATCGTCAGGACAATTGGAGCCTGTCCTCGTCTCTCACGCTAAGATGCGCACATTATTCTGTCTCACACCTTAGCAGTCCATCCCGATCGGGGCTTTTGTTCGCGTATTTCAATCCACACTCGTGCAGCATCTCGCCAATGGCTGCCAAAGCTCTGTAACGTAGCCGCAATCGTGTTCAATCGACGCGCATCCCAAGGAAGTTGCTAAAAATTGACGGTGCACTTGATGGATGGGCTTCCAAGCTGGGTTAAGAACTAGTCGGCAGCATCTGCTTCGTTTCCCGTGTCCAGCAGGTCGTCGACATACACGCCCACGCAGTCAGCTGGGCTTCATCAAATCTCTGCATAGGCACATGTTAGAGACACACTAGCCGAAACCAGCTTCTATTAACCGAGCGTGCAAAATTTGGCCCCAGCGTCGTCCAACCTGCATATTGCCGTACCAACTCTTGCGCAGCTAAAGCACGACATTCTTTTCGTGGGCGGCGCCAAGTGTCTTGAGTGTGTTTTTGTTGACATCCATCGCGTGGGAGACACGTAGCAGTAATTGCAAGTGCTCTTCTATTTATTCTTGGACATGGGCATTAAGGATTTTCCCTTGCTTCTCTGGCACTTTTTATGTTGCAGCTAGCGCTAGAATCACCATCACGGTCGACGTATACATGACAGCTGAGAAGGTAAGCTAGTGGTCGATCCGAAGACCTGTCTGTTGCCACACGCTTATAATCTTGCCTCCAGCCGCCAGAATCGTTCTCTTTCTTATACATAGTCACATCGTGTGCAATGCATTGCTGTCAAAGGTCTTCAAACTAAGCGTTACGCGTCAATTTATTCAAGGGCCGTAGCTCTTCCCGCATTTCTTTCCCCCATCCCTTTCGCATAAGCTGTGCATCGCCTACCGATATTTTCAAAGGTCACGATCGTACACATGCCTTACCAGACTGTCGCTTTGAACATTTTCGTCCCGAGATGGATCCTCCTGATATCCTGATACCTGCGTGCGCTACGTTGTGTTTTTTTTTCTGTAGGATCACGCGTTTGAATCTTCGACTTCTTCTTACCGACTCTACTGTGACTATAAAATTGATAAAATCATCTAAGAAGGTATTATTTATCCTTTAAGATGTAATAAAGGTATTGTGGTTCATGAAGCCTCCTCCCTTACATCCTTCCCGCAACGACCATCACTTTAATACGAGAAGGGTAATGGTCGGAATCACTAAATTTGCCCTAAAATTTTTGCTCACGTCACGTCTGACTTCCTCACTTCTTTACAGCTTCTTAAACTTCTGTGTAACGGGCCACCTCGTTTATACTGACCACATTATAAGCTTAATTGTACTCTCAACAGTACAAGCAGGTGCTTCGTTATTTACGCACTCTGAAGAGTTCAAAAGCTTAAACAACTAACACACACGCCGTTGAATGAAAAAGAAGAATTATGGTTGGTATCGTTAATGTTCCATTGATGTAACCTATACCTATATTCTCTTAAATACGGCTGAGTACAAGTATGTAATCTTTATAACTGTTCAACACTCACAATGCGCGAATCTATCGTGCATAGATCATCTTGGTTGAATTCATGGCCTGTCTTTGAGCAACAGACGTGTCAACCACAATACATTATCTTCTAATATGACAATAATCCCATAACATTCGAATAATCGTTCGATTATGTAATATCATGAGACGAGTTTACCCCCCATTACATCGTGAAATTTTTACAGCACTACTGTGTTCAATTGCATAGGGCATGGTTCATAGGGCATGGTTCATAGGGCATGGTAATTTTTCAAGCCCGACATCCAACGAGCTCGTCGCACATCGTATCCATGTGTGGTGTATCTTATGTCAGTTTGATCCGAACGCAATGATGTGCTTGTCAGACGTGACTTTACCCAGTCAGACAGCAATGGGTATCTCCTAAGATGTCAGTGTTGTTATTGAAATTTCCTGAGCGCTTTGTCAGGTGCACCGTTCAACTGCCTCAAGTTGAGTCGAAGCGTCTGTGTCTTACCTGAATTTATAGCAAAGGAGAAGCAGCTAGAAGAAACATATAAATTTTCTTGGATTTACTTGCTGTTGGTCGTCGTAGAAAAAACTAATTTTGTTCGGTAAAACACAATCCGTGTAATGGGGCACCCTGAAGCTTGTACTGATGACAGTACAAGCTACTTATTCTTATGACAGAATAAGGCGGTGCCTCGGAACTTCACGTACACTCGTACGTGCAGAGGAAGACGGTAAGAAGAAGCGAGTACTTGGTTAAAGTAAAAAGTAGAACTGTATTTATAATAGTTAATGTCTGTTAATAAATCACTATTTATCCTCATCTAACTATGTCTGAATGCAAATGTGCATATCAACTATCTGCTCACCACTCATTGCGTGCGTCTGTCGTGGCGCGTCTTCGTTGGTTAATATAATAGCCTATACCAACCGATTAGGAACTACTCGTAAGTGCTACAGAATATTTGTCCTTACGACAATATTCTGAGAATATAACTCTTATAATTATATTCTATTAACAATTTCTTATAAATTGTTATGTAACGATTCACCCCGTTACATCACTCCCCCCTTAACCATCAGTCACTTTAGTGACTGATTGACTAAATGGATACTCGTCCCAAATCATTTGGGACAGGGTTTGCACTTGTTGGTCCGAGTCCACTTCCCAACATTTCATCGCATGGTTAACAAGCCCATGCGATGCGCGAGCAAGGCCGCCGAGAGCGCGTCCGCACGTCTCTGTGCGGACGCCGAAGCAGAAATCACAGCAACTGATGTCTCATCGGTTGCTGAAGCGACTCAGCCTGTATCACTTGGTGATGCAGGCGCTGGTCATGAAGACACTCATGTCTTCACAGAGTACGAGCTCGGTGTCTCGTACTCTCCTGATACGGAAGACGGATCCGTATCGGCGGCGATCGAATCTAAGCCGCCTGCCAAGCGTGGCATGGATGATGCTATGCGTCGTAGCATCTTTGGTTCATCTGATGAATCAGATGAACCATCGCCGAAGCGAAGGCGCTCGAGGTCGCGAGACTCGGGCGCTAACAGTGGTGTCGGTTCTCCTATGGACACCACTTCGCAACGAGGTGCCAGTCCTTCTGTCGGCACATCGCAGGAAGAGCGGGACCGCAATGTCTTGCGTCTCGCTCCCGAGAAGAAGGCATGGATGCCTCCAAAATCTGTCATGGATCACTTGTCGGCGACGACGAGTGACCGTTATCGAACACGGTTGTTCGATTCGTCAAGGATCCATCACCTTGACCCCAGCGCGAAAAACTATCGCGCTGAGAATGGATTCTTCATCGATGCTTTCTTTAGACATCGATGGTACAGTGGGAATCATAAGCGTGATGGTCCCTCACTGCTTCAAGCGTGGAACGCCTACATCCATAACCTTGAGGATGTAGGTCGTGACGTTTGGAACGACAAACTTATCAAAGCTCGTGATAAGTTTGAAAAGCGAACCCCGACAGGTGCACGCTACAAGCTGCATCGTCTGTCAAGGGAGAAAGGATTACCCTGCCTCTCTTGGGGAGACTTGTGCCCGTGTTGTGTGAACAACTCTGCACGAGCACCTAAGGAGGCTTAACTCCTTACCAGCCCGTGGTGGCGCGTACGTGTCTCTACTGAGATGTACGAAGGGATTGACAACCTGAAATCCCTTTACGACCGTGCCGGGAAGACTTTCTCCGGCGGTCCTTCTGCGGCATATGATGTGCCTCGTCGTACTGCTCAACCAGACCCAGTACGTCAAACATCACTTGGGAGCGGTGCTCCCAAGTATCCCAGGACGAGGGATAGCCGCGCCACCGGACGAGATAACTCGTCCGACGTCCGTTCACGTCGCGGTGGTTCATCAGCTGCTCAACCAAATAGCGCTGGCCACCGCGAGAGTCCTCTAATGGAAGTGGAGGAGGAGGAAAGACGCTCTCCACACGATCGTGGGGATCCGTGTGTTCCCGAGAGCTTCTTTGATCGCGTAACGCAAGGGTTACGCGGTGATCTCGAGCATGAGCGGGACAGGCGTCTCCAAATGGCGGACACTGTCTCGAAGCATCGCTGAGTTTGCCTTTGCTCAGCTTGAGAACGAGAGAGCTCTGACATCTCTTCGTGACGAGCTAAGGGTAGCTCGTGTGGATATTGACCGGTTTAGGGCTGAGATAACTGCTCTTCAGACCCTTTTTGATATCCACCATCGGGAGCACAAGGCTCTCTGCGAGATGCTTGAGCGCAAGGGAGTTCTTCATCGGAAGAAGCAGCGTACTGATGGTACGGCTTAAGCCGACCAACGTAAAACGTGGGATGCGTTCGCATATTACGTGGCAACTCGATCGTGTATGCATTGCCTAGGCGGTGCAATACACGAAATGGGCCGATGTACTTGTGTAGTAGTTTACTGCTACCCAAGTTAGTCACTACACGCTTTGGTAGATTAACCGTAGACAGTAGGACTAAGTCACCTTTATTAAGTAAAAGAGTGTTTTCCCTTCCATTCTTGTGTGCGTTTTGCTTTTGCTTATCCACCGCTTCGGCGATGGAGTCTTGCACAAAACGGACTACCGTTTCACGAGCCAGTATGAACTCATCTGATGACTCGTTAGCTTCAGTGCGCTGTGAGCGCACTGCGGCAACATCAATCTTTTATTCAGTGAGGGCTTCCGCGCTCTCACTGGCATCATCTTCTTCGATATTGATGTTATCGATATCGGCATCAAACGCAATGACTTCTTCGTCAGAGCGTGATGAGCGTGAACCAATTCGGTTTTTTCTCGCGCGAGTCCCCCCCCCTTAAACCAGAGTTACACTCTAGTAAGGTGGGTACACGCGGATGGCGCAAGCCATTCACTTAAAACGGTGTATGTGTCGTGGACGCATGCACCGAGTTGTTAATGGCAAACTCTACCATGGGCAAGAACTCACTCCAACTCTTAAAGGAGTGTACGTATCCTCGAAGTATCTCTTCGAGGACACGATTGGCACGTTCCGTCTGAACATCTGACTCTGGATGATCAGATGTAGACATCTTCAAGCGCGTTCCGAGTGATTTGAACACGGAACGCCAGAAATCAGCAGTGAATCGTGGATCTCTTTCTGATACGAGTTCACGGGGCAACCCGTGAAGTCGGAAGATGGTGTCGATAAAGACACAAGCACAGCCACTTGCCGTGATTGTCTCTGGTACAGCCACAAGGTGTACCATTTTGCTGAATCTGTCAACAAATACGAGAATACCCGTATTCCCGCGTGCGTCTTTGGGTTACCCGAAGACGAAATCCATTGAGATGGATTCCCAGCACTCAGCCGGAACCGGTAGAGGCTGTAAAGGTGCACGCAGTGAAGGACTTGACTTCACTCGTTGACAGACTTCGCATGCGCGAACATACTTTCGCACAAACTGATACTGGCGGGGCCAGCCAAAGTCTCGACTCACCGTGAGATATGTTTTCTCCCGTCCACGATGTCCTCCTATAGGAGCATCGTGATACTCGAACATGATCCGCAAACGCAGATCAGTATCATCTGGAATGACAACACGTGGTGTGTCACCAGAAACGGCTGTATAGTACAGTAAACCGTTACGAGTAGTGTATCGATCTGATGCAGATTGATACGCAGACGACAATCGTTTCAACGATTCTCGAGATGGTTGGGAGAGATGTGACAACAACTTCACTATCTCACCATCTTGGGCGTATGCCCGCCTCACATCATCATACAACGTTGTAGATGGAACTGAGGACGTCATAACCGCAACAGTGACTGTCTCACTGTTGGGTTTCGCGACTGTTTCAAAGTCGGGACGACGTGAGAGTGCATCAGCGACGACATTAAGTCGTCCTGGTTTGTACTCGACCGTAAAGTTGTATTCTGCAAAGAATGACAACCACCGCGCCATTCGTTGTGAAAGGTGCGGGCTGTTCACTGCCGTGCGTAAGGACGCATGGTCAGTGTAAACAACGAAGGGTCTATCTCCTAATAGATAGACTCTGAACTTCGCGAGTGCATACTTCATGGCAAGGAGTTCCTTGTCATGCACTGGATAGTTCCGCTCAGCTGGTTGCAGCTGACGCGACTGATAGCAGACGACGCGTTCAACGCCTTCAAGGTCGTACTGCATTAATGCACAGCCGATTGCGAAATCGCTGGCATCACAGACCACATGAAATGGCCTGTCCTGTTCGGCAATTGCTACGACTGGGGATTGTATCAAGCTCTGCTTGATACCCTCAAAGGAGCGCTGACATTCAGCGTTCCATAACCACCTCTCGTTCTTTTTCAACAAACGAGAGAGGTGCACAGTCATCTCGGCGTAATTGCGTGAATACTTATGCAAATACGCCGCTAGCCCGAGAAATTTTCGAAGACCTTTGACATCAACCGGCACAGGCCATTCGGTGATCGCCTTGATCTTTTCGGGATCAGGACGTACACCGTTCTTACCAACGATGCACCCAAGAAGTGGTATTTCGCTTGCTGCAAATATACACTTCTTGAGGTTTGCACACAATTGATGCTTTCGCATGATTGTATGAACCTATCGGACGTGGTACCTGTGAACCTCAACATCCGACTTTCCATCCATAGCTCGACTATGGATGAATACGTCATCGAAATAACTCGGCGCGAATTCTCGTACTGGTCTCAACAGATGTGATACACACCTGTTGAACGTGGCAGGGGCATTACTGAGCCCTTGTGGCATTACTAGCCATTCCCAGAGCATGCCGCTAGGCGTGCTAACTGCGGTATAGGGTATATCCCGTTCCCGCATAAGGATTTGATAGAAGCCATCCATCAAATCCATGGACGAAAAGATGGTACTCTTTGACATACCAGCAATGATTACGCCCTTCCTCGGTATCGGCGTTTGAGCCGGTACCGTTGCAGCATTCAACTTGTTAAATGCATGCACTATCCGCCACCCTCCTGTTGCTTTTCGCACACAGAAGGTCGGAGAGCTATGTGGGGAAGTTGATTCCCTCACATGGCCCGCAGCTAAACGATCGGCAAAGAACTTGTCGATCGCAAGTACTTGTTCACGAGGCAGTGGCCACTGCTTCATGACACAGTACTTCGAGCCTGGTTTAAGCACGACCTCGTGTCGAATACCTTTATCCTTCGGTAATTCGCACGGAACAGTTTCAGGGAATACATCCTTGAATTCAACCAAATCTTCACAGAGAGGATTTGTCTTGAGCGATTCCCACGATTGGGAGTCATATCGCTCAATTCGTGTCTTTTCATCGAGGACGCTCTCGTCCATCGATGAACTACTGAGAACTCTCTCGTTCTCAGTAAACACTGTTGCTGACCTTATGTCGGTTACACACTCGTCGTCAGCGACGAGTACGCAGATCTGCTTGACTTTGCCACTACGCAGATCACGCAAGAACCTTTTATGTTCGAGCGTTGGTAACTGAGTGATCTCCGAAGTCAACTTCGGAGGCGCAATCAGATCAAGTGTATAAGCGCCTACACTTGATCCGTCGTTGGATAGGACATTTAATGTCTCTGTCATTTCCCGGGGACTTATTCCCTCAGGCCTCGAAGGACTTATTCCTTCGGCTTCCCGGGGACTTATTCCCTCGGGTTTCGGGGAACTTATCTCTGCCGTATTTGTAATCTTGGGACTTATTCCCTTTACTTCCTCTAGCTGGGGTTGCGCAACCACAGCGAGATCCTCTACGAAAGACTCTCCAGTCGATCTAGGATTATCGTTTCGCTTAACCTGAGCGATCGATTGTTTCTCTTCTAGATGTTCCCCGCTAGGGATACATCTTTGTCCCAGTCCACCCGACTTATTCGAGTGGTGGACCTTCGGCGCAGCCTGTGTTTCCTCACAGCCGCCGGAACTTTGCTCCGAAGTGTAACCGTTTGGTACACTAAGGTTTTGTGCAGTCGTACTAACGACCGTACCACAAGTGAGGCCATCGCACTCACTCGTAGTACATCCAAACAAAGACGCTCCAAAACGTTCATCAAATGGTCATCTGATGAACAAGCGGCAGGCATCGTTACTGTCCGATGTTGCCAGTTTACCCGTGGTTCGTACCTTCTGAGCCACGGTATTCCAAGGATGACATCAAATTTGTCATCCAAATCCAATACGATAAAGTCATCGTCATATTGGGTATCTTCTAGCGTATAGTGAATCTTCACTATACGCTTCATGACGGTTACGGATGCGCCTGTAGCAAGACGTACCGTCATCCTCGTAGGAGGTGTGTCACATTCACTGAACTTAAAGTGACCATCTTCTAGCGATTGGCGTTGCACAAAATTGTTGGACGCCCCACAATCGACTAGAGCTCGAAGGGACAACTTATTCGTCACTTCGAGTTTCAAGGTAATGAGTGAGATCTCATTACCTAGAGCAGCATCGCACAATGTTTGTATGTTGGGAGCAAACTTCGTCAAGAGGCTTGCAAATTCTCTTGACGTTGCTGGATCAGCAGGGTGCTCCGCACCTACTGATCCTGTCCGTTTTTTGACGGTCCATCCCGTTGTTGCGTCTTTGCACCAACTGCGGACCCGCGTCCCTGCCCCTTTCTCATGGGTGGACAGTCACTACGCCCAGTGTTGCGAGACACTGGACGAGGGGCACTACACTCGTAAGCGTAGTGTCCTGTCTTTTGACATCTGTTGCATCTCTGCAACTTCTTGTAGCCTGTAGAGCGAGCCTTCTCGCTCTCTACATAACAGAGTTCCATCGGCTCTGGACCTCCGTTGTCATATCGTCTCGGTTGACGATATGATGTCGAGCTGGCGCGAGCCTGTCTCAGACTGAAGTCTTCCTGTTCCGCAATGGAAATGGCTTGTTCTAGTGAATCTAGTTAAAGCCGGAACAGGTGAGTCTTGACGGGACCACCCGCAAGACCCTGCATGAACACCGAAACCAACGTGTGTTAATCAACCGGGTTGGAACTTATACAACTCGTGAGATGTCGTATATGTTGAGCGTAAGCGTGCACATCACGCTTACCCTGCTTGAGCTTCAAGAGTTCGGTTCGAGCTCTGAACTCAGCTCTAGGCGGTTCAAACGTTTGTCTGAGCCGCGACTTGAAGACTTCCAACGACCCAAACGCATATGGGTCGTGCAACTTGAGCCCCAGTGCCCAAGTCTTGGCACGTCCTGCCATATTTGACTGGGCAAATGCAACTTGCATATCCCCGTAGTCGATGCGACGCGCCCTTATGGCGTCATCCAATTCGACGAACCATCTCAAGAGGGAGTCTTCTTCGACCCCCCTATACTTGGAGATGTCAATCTTCAAAGTCTCGGGTCGACGCGAGTGCATCGACCCACCAGCAGCAGCCTGCTGCTGTCTCAACAGTTCAAACTGTTGAGCACCCTGTTCTCTCAACAACTCTGCTTGTTGAGAACCTTGTTGGTGAAGCAAGGCTACTTTCTCGCGTTCTGCGTCAAGTTCATTTTGAATGAACTTGGCGATAGTAGCATGTTGGGCATCTCTATTGAGAGCCTCTAGCATGACGCTAACAGCATGGATGCCCATGGTTGAACCCATCCGTTCAACCGCATCCCATTCGACATCGCTCAAATGGGAGTAGCCGTCACGCGTAGCGTGAAAGCTTTGGTCATCTTCATCATCCAACATATTCATGTTGGATGTGAACGCGGTCCTTGGACGGACTACGAAGTGCTACCAGGTGTAACGGGGCACCCTGAAGCTTGTACTGGTGACAGTACAAGCTACTTATTCTGATAACAGAATAAGGCGGTGCCTCGTAACTTCACGTACACTCGTACGTGCAGAGGAAGACGGTAAGAAGAAGCGAGTACTTGGTTAGAGTAAAAGTAGAACTGTATTTATAATAGTTAATGTCTGCAATAAATCACTATTTATCTTCATCTAACTATGTCTAAATACAAATGTGTAAATCAGTTATCTGCTCACCACTCATTGCGTGCGTCTGTCGTGGTGCGTCTTCGTTGGTTGATATAATGGCCTATATCAACCAATTAGGAACTACTTGGAAGTGCTACAGAATATTGTCCTTATGACAATATTCTGAGAATATAACTCTTATAGTTATATTCTATTAACAATTTCTTATAAATTGTTATGTAACGATTCACCCCGTTACATCACCCCCCTTAACCATCAGTCACTTTAGTGACTGATTGACTAAATGGATACTCGTCCCAAATCATTTGGGACGGGGTTTGCACTTGTTGGTCCGCGTCCACTTTTCAACATCTCATCGCATGGTAAACAAGCCCATGCGATGCGCGAGCAAGGCCGCCGAGAGCGCGTCCGCACGTCTCTGTGCGGACGCCGAAGCAGAAATCACAGCAACTGATGTCTCATCGGTTGCTGAAGCGACTCAGCCTGTGTCACTTGGTGATGCAGGCGCTGGTCATGAAGACACTCATGTCTTCACAGAGTACGAGCTCGGTGTCTCGTACTCTCCTGATACGGAAGACGGATCCGTATCGGCGGCGATTGAATCTAAGCCGCCTGCCAAGCGTGGCATGGATGATGCTATGCGTCGTAGCATCTTTGGTTCATCTGATGAATCAGATGAACCATCGCCGAAGCGAAGGCGCTCGAGGTCGCGAGACTCGGGCGCTAATAGTGGTGTCGTTTCTCCTATGGACACCACTTCACAGCGAGGTGCCAGTACTTCTGTCGGCACGTCGCAGGAAGAGCGGGACCGCAATGTGCTGCGTCTCGCTCCAGAAAAGAAGGCATGGATGCCTCCTAAATCTGTCATGGATCACTTGTCGGCGACGACGAGTGATCGTTATCGAACACGATTGTTCGATTCGTCGAGGATTCATCACCTTGACCCCAGCGCGAAAGACTATCGCGCTGAACATGAGTTCTTCATCGATGCTTTCTTCAGACATCGATGGTACAGTGGGAATCACAAACGTGATGGTCCCTCACTACTTCAGGCGTGGAACGCCTACATCCATAATCTCGAGGATGTAGGTCGTGACGCTTGGAACGACAAACTTATCAAAGCTCGTGATAAGTTTGAAAAGCGAACCCCGACAGGTGCACGCTACAAGCTGCATCGTCTGTCAAGGGAGAAAGGATTACCCTGCCTTTCTTGGGGAGACTCGTGCCCATGTTGTGTGAACAACTCCGCACGAGCACCTAAGGAGGCTTACCTCCTTACCAGCCCGTGGTGGCGCGTACGTATCTCTACTGAGATGTACGAAGGGATTGACAGCCTGAAATCCCTTTACGACCGTGCCGGGAAGACTTTCTCCGGCGGTCCTTCTGCGGCACAGGATGTGTCGCGTCGTACTGCTCGACCAGACCCAGTACGTCAACCATCAATTGGGAGCGGGGCTCCCAAGAATCCCAGGACGGGGGATAGCCGCGCCACCGGACGAGGTAACTCGTCCGACGTCCGTTCACGTCGCGGTGGTTCAACAGCTGCTCTACTAGATAGCGGTGGCCACCGCGAGAGTCCTCTAATGGAGGTGGAGGAGGAGGAAAGACGCTCTCCACACGATCATGTGGATCGGTGTGTTCCCGAGAGCTTCTTTGATCGCGTAACGCAAGGGTTACGCGACGATCTCGAGCATGAGCGGAATAGGCGTCTCCAGATGGTGGACACTGCCTCGAAGCATCGAGCTGAGTTTGCCTTTGCTCAGCTTGAGAACGAGAGATCTCTGACATCTCTTCGTGACGAGCTAAGGGTAGCTCGTGGGATTGTTGATCGGTCTCGGGCTGAGATAACTGCTCTTCAGACCCTTGTTGATGCCCACCATCGGGAGCACAAGGCTCTCTGCGAGATGCTTGAGCGCAAGGGCGTTCTTCATCGGAAGAAGCAGCGTACTGATGGTACGGCTTAAGCCGACCAACGTAAAACGTGGGATGCGTTCGCATCTTACGTGGTAACTCGATCGTGTATGCATTGCCTAGGCGGTGCAATACACGAAATGGGCCAATGTACTTGGGTAGTAGTTTACTGCTACCCAAGTTAGTCACTACATGTTTTGGTAGATTAACCGTAGACAGTAGGACTAAGTCACCTTTATTAAATAAAGAGTGTTTGCCCTTCCATTCTTGTCAGCGTTTTGCTTTTGCTTATCCACCGCTTCGGCGATGGAGTCTTGCACAAAACGGACTACCGTTTCACGAGCCAGTATGAACTCATCTGATGACTCGTTAGCTTCAGTGTGCTGTGAGCGCACTGCAGCAAAATCAACCTTTTCTTCAGTGAGGGCTTCCGCACTCTCACTGGGATCATTGTCTTCAGTGAGGGCTTCCGCACTCTCACTGGCATCATCTTCTTCGATATCGATGTTATCGATATCGGCATCAAACGCAATGACTTCTTCGTCAGAGCGTGATGAGCGTGAACCAAATCGGTTTTTGCTCGCGCGAGTCCCTCCCCCCTTAAACCAGAGTTACACTCTAGTAAGGTGGGTACACGCGGATGGCGCAAGCCATTCACGTAAAACGGTGTATGTGTCGTGGACGCATGCACCGAGTTGTTGATGGCAAACTCTACCATCGGCAAAAACTCACTCCAACTCTTAAAGGAGTGTACGTATCCTCGAATTATCTCTTCAAGGACACGATTGGCACGTTCCGTCTGACCATCTGACTCTGGATGATCAGATGTTGACATCTTCAAGCGCGTTCCGAGTGATTTGAACACGGAACGCCAGAAATCAGCAGTGAATCGTGGATCTCTGTCTGATACGAGTTCACGGGGCAACCCGTGAAGTCGGAAGATGGTGTCAATAAAGACACAAGCACAGCCACTTGCCGTGATTGTCTCTGGTACAGCCACAAGGTGTACCATTTTGCTGAATCTGTCAACAAATACGAGAATACCCGTATTCCCGCGTGCGTCTTTGGGTAACCCGAAGACGAACATGAGATGGATTCAGCACTCACCGGAACCGGTAGAGGCGGAAAAGTCCATTGAGATGGATTCCCAGCACTCAGCCGGAACCGGTAGAGGCTGTAAAGGTGCACGCAGTGAAGGACTTGACTTCACTCGTTTGCAGACTTCCCACCCCCGAAAAACCTTTCGCACAAACTGATACTGGCGGGGCCAGTAAAAGTCTCGACTTACCGTGAGATATGTTTTCTCTCGGCCACGATGTCCTCCTATAGGAGCATCGTGATACTCGAACATGATCCGCAAACGCAGATCAGTATCATCTGGAATGACAACACGTGGTGTGTCACCAGAAACGGCTGTATAGTACAGTAAACCGTTACGAGTAGTGTATCGATCTGATGCAGATTGATACGCAGACGACAATCGTTTCAACGATTCTCGAGATGGTTGGGAGAGATGTGACAACAACTTCACTATCTCACCATCTTGGGCGTATGCCCGCCTCACATCATCATACAACGTTGTAGATGGAACTGAGGACGTCATAACCGCAACAGTGACTGTCTCACTGTTGGGTTTCGCGACTGTTTCAAAGTCGGGACGACGTGAGAGTGCATCAGCGACGACATTAAGTCGTCCTGGTTTGTACTCGACCGTAAAGTTGTATTCTGCAAAGAATGACAACCACCGCGCCATTCGTTGTGAAAGGTGCGGGCTGTTCACTGCCGTGCGTAAGGACGCATGGTCAGTGTAAACAACGAAGGGTCTATCTCCTAATAGATAGACTCTGAACTTCGCGAGTGCATACTTCATGGCAAGGAGTTCCTTGTCATGCACTGGATAGTTCCGCTCAGCTGGTTGCAGCTGACGCGACTGATAGCAGACGACGCGTTCAACGCCTTCAAGGTCGTACTGCATTAATGCACAGCCGATTGCGAAATCGCTGGCATCACAGACCACATGAAATGGCCTGTCCTGATCGGCAATTGCTACGACTGGGGATTGTATCAAGCTCTGCTTGATACCCTCAAAGGAGCGTTGACATTCAGCGTTCCATAACCACCTCTCGTTCTTTTTCAACAAACGAGAGAGGTGTACAGTCATCTCGGCGTAATTGCGTGAATACTTATGCAAATACGCCGCTAGCCCAAGGAATTTTCGAAGACCTTTGACATCGACCGGCACGGGCCAGTCGGTGATCGCCTTGATCTTTTCGGGATCAGGACGTACACCGTTCTTACCAACGATGCACCGAAGAAGTGGTATTTCGCTTGCTGCAAATATACACTTCTTGAGGTTTGCATACAATTGATGCTTTCGCATGATTGTAAGAACTTGTCAGACGTGGTACTTGTGAACCTCAACGTCCGACTTTCCATCCATAGCTCGACTATGGATGAATACGTCATCGAAATAACTCGGCGCGAATTCTCGTACTGGCCTCAACAGATGTGATACACACCTGTTGAACGTGGCAGGGGCATTACTGAGCCCTTGTGGCATTACTAGCCATTCCCAGAGCATGCCGCTAGGCGTGCTAACTGCGGTATAGGGTATATCCGTTCCCGCATAAGGATTTGATAGAAGCCATCCATCAAATCCATGGACGAAAAGATGGTACTCTTTGACATACCATCAATGATTACGTCCTTCCTCGGTATCGGCGTCTGAGCCGGTACCGTTGCAGCGTTCAATTTGTTAAACGCGTGCACTATCCGCCACCCTCCTGTTGCTTTTCGCACACAGAAGGTCGGAGAGCTATGTGGGGAAGTTGATTCCCTCACAT